AGCAAATTATACTATAATAAAGGTGTAAGCTCTGAGTTCCAATAAATATTTCTACATTATACAAAACATTATTATTAACAAATCAAAAGTTTTTCGTGACTCTAGAATAACTCGCGCATTAATAAAAGAAGAACTATTTCCGTGACTCATACCGCGGGTTTAGCTGAATATTCAGCAGTTATTAATAAATTAGATACAGTACAATGGCTGTCTTTTTTTGAAAATGGATGTTACAAGAGAGTTTTTCAACACTTTACCACCATGTAGTCTTTCATGGTAATCTTTATTCAAGGAAGTTATAATATCAGTTCTACTTTCGATTCTTGTGGTTTGTTTACATATTTTTCTAGGTCACGATATGAGTTAACCTTCGCTATTCTAAAAATAGATTCTGCTTCACCTGTGCTGATTTTCGGACAGGCGATTAGGGAGTACACATTATACATGTAATAAACCAGCGGATTACATGCAATAATTTTAGAAATTCTATACAATTGTAAGAAGCAAACGAGTTGAAAATGTAATTTAGTGTGAAATTGAAAAGGACAACTAAAGACTGTAGTGCTTAAGTGACATTTAAATTAAAATAAAAACGATGTGTTCTGGCCTCTACATCTTTACCTTGTAAATAAAAAATTCTAAAAAATACACTATTAATTGCTGATGATTTTAACCAAAAATATTTTTAATGAGACATATCCAAGAGAAATAAAAATACAAATGACTTATATTTTATTGTCTATATGCCCACTATGATATAACACGAAGCAATTCTAAATAGCATTCTCACATGTATAATGTATTATGCTTGAAGTTTATTTGCATGGTTTTATTTTAGAAATATTTCGTTGACAGTTTCTTTTTCTACTTACATATCATTTCTTGGAATAAATCGATAAGGACACTGATTAACAAGTTTGACCAGAGTTTTTAGGCATAAATTTCATTCTGTATTTGAATGCTTAAAAGTAGAATATCTGAATTATATCAGATCAATATAATTGGGACAATTTTCTCTGTTATATATATATATTTTTTTTTTTCTAAAAAAGCTTTAAATTAATGTCTCTCCGGTTGCATGTCTGTCGCATTCAGTGCTGCAGCACTTTGATTAATATAAACAACCTAAACCAATAAGAAATATGCAAACTTGTGTTTCTAAAAGATTTTATTGAATAACATGAAGTTTTTATCAATTACCTTAGGTATATTAATTTAATATTAATTTTTTAGCGTTTGATGATTGAAAGTTTTTTCTTTTGAAATAATTAATATTAAAGTCTGTGTGAAAATACGAAGAGAAATAAACTAAAACATTATTAAATCATTTCTAAGGACAATAATTTAAATAAAGATGTAATATATATTTGAAATAAAAATTTCATCTTGATTACTTTAAGCGGGCATTGAAAATTTCAAGCTGGTTGTTTGCTCACCATTAAAAGATGCAGCCCACTAGTTTTCAAAATTGCATAAGAATGCTATCGCGGGTCAATCCATGGATAAATTTCCAGCGGTTGTTAGTTTATGACAAAGTATTTCTTTAATAATTATAATTTGCCAACAGAATTTCCATCTGCTTATTTAAAGCTACATTTAATAAATTTCATAAAAATAGAAATTGCGACATTTTATTAATAAATTGGGTTTCATATCGACTCCAGATTTTATTTTGGTGTCAAGACAACCAAAATAAGTTTTATAAGCATAAAAAATGGGCAACCTCATTGTGGCGAAATCGGAAGTACAATTTCTGTTTGCATGAGAAACTCCGCCTTCATATCATCTGTACATCAATATTAAATCAACAAACTATATGCAGCAGTCCTAATCTAACGGTATATTTCCACGTTGTAACGGATGTTTTCATACAAATTTAAATTAATCCTTTTTATGAGATGATTACTTTTTATCTGAACCCCAGGTCTAGTGCACCTTGAAGCTAAAACGGTTGAATTGTGTTTGCACAAGAAAATCTCATAATTACTGTGTTCCGGATAGCAACTATATCAATATGACGCAGCGCATACACGAGCTGATTTATAGTCTTCATTTGCATATTAAAATTCGTATACGAACTTTAGTGTTACCGTGGGGTTTTCCATTTAAAATCCTAATTTATGAACAATATTTGATGAGATTTTCAACAATACTGTTAAAAAGGTTAATGAAACTGTAGAATGCTTGTTTTTAGGCCGACAGCAAAATATTTTTAAATATTTATTTAATGTAACTTTAAAGGTAACTGGTAATGTGAATGAAGTTTTAATCCAATATGGATAGAACTTTTGGCTAGTAGTAAGGGCCTGTACCGCTAGCCATTTCCTTTGTGTTATGGTATGACACTCAGGGTTGTCATTAAGAGGCGGCAGGAGGCCAAAATGCCTGTCTCAAATGCATTATGGGCCGCCTCAAAATTTAGAAAACACTCTTTGTTATGCATGATAAAGACAGAAATGACCGCCTCAAGTTCAAAACAAACCTTCTGCAAAAAATGTTAATGACAACCCTGGACACTTGATGTCTATCCCACAAGAAGGTTGTCATAAACAAAAGGTAAGATTGATAAACTGAATTATTTTAGCCAGAGAATTTCAATTTTACTATTATATTTATCAGTGACTTTCTCAAACCTATTAAATGAAACGGACATCAATTGAGCCGACTGTTTAGCTCAATATGTCGAGTGATGGACTGTGAATCAGGTGACCAGGGTTCGATTCCGGGCGGCGCAGGTCACTTTCATTGTGATTGAACATCAAATCCTTTCTAAGCACTGTATACCTCTGCTCTGGTATGTACAGAAGGCTCAGTTCCTTGCTAAAGTTAAAGCAACTAGTACAGGTAGCCTGCCAGGAACGATGCGGTGGCTGAAATGTGCTCTGGTAAATTCAATGTGGAGCTTTGCTGCTGTGAATTGTAATCCGGTGAGTGATAACTACTGTACCAACACCACCAACCACAGACAACAATAAATCAAGATAATTTCCACACGTATCTATAATGCTTTGATTTATCTCTCTTCTTGCATTGGATTTAAAAGACTGTAATTTCATTTGGCTAATCTAACATATAAAAATGTCAGCAATGAAAATCAGTGGTTCCGTCCATAATTTTCGTGTAAATTTTTCCAAGCGTTTCGTTGTTTTGCATAAAATTATTGAAAATTAGGAAGAAAAAGTAACTCATTTAAGTATTGGTAATGGGTGGACAAGCAAAACTTTATTTGAAATGGATGATTATTTGATAATGTATTTGTTTACCAAAATTTCTTTCAAAACAAGATGAAAATAGCCGACTTTTTGACAGCTTCAGATCACTCCCATCTTGTAAATTTCATTATGGCGGAAGTTAACGTCATTTCCCGTAAAATCGCACGAGATTCTGAAAGCTATTCAAACGGAGTTCGTAGGTCATTCGCAATTCGTACGTAGCTCGGCAATTACATAACAGGGCAACAACACGGACTTTAATTGACAATCCAAGGGGAGCGGTGGCCTAGTGGTTAAGGTGTCTGCCTCTCAACCCAGAGATCATGGGTTCGGGCCCTAATCGGGTCACGACCATGTTTCTTCATATGACACCAGTACTGCAGCTGGTTGGTTCCAGGAAGCGGACTCGAAAGTGATTAATATAAGTTGCAATTAAGAACTTGTTTCGCAATCGAGCTAAAATAAATATGTTTAAACCAATTGACAATCCGTGGTTCAACTGAGTTCAACGATTGTACTTGTTTAAAGTCCGTGTACAAATTCAGTATAAATACGAAGTCAATGTGCCATTCTGATTTTATTCAATCTGTAACAAAATACCTGTACAGTAAATGAATACCTATGGAAATTAATGTCGAGTCAAAATATCTATTTCATACAGCCCATACAACATACAGTTTAAATGCCTATCTTTTATTTTATTATATAAAATGTTGCGTTGACTCGTAAAAACATTGTAAGCAGTAACAAAATGTAGCTCGTCTTTAACTTCTTTCGAGTTGCACACCTCGCAAAATCTTCTATCAGGATTGATTTTTTTATGTCTCCCGATCTCTAGATATTTGTAATTTGTGAGAACTTATCTTTAACTTTGTAAAACAAGCTCTAATATCTTTATCTTTGATTATTGCTAAATAAGGTTCCATACAAAAATTTGTTTTAAACAGTGCATCATTATCTACCGCATTTTTCAATTAATCCATAAAATGTATTTTAAAATTACTCAACAGTTGTTTTCATACAATAACATATAGATTTTTATCATTATATTGACTTTGAGGTATTTTAAAATATTTTAGTATAAACAAATACATTGGATAACCAATTGTTTTTTGGGTTTTTTTTACAATTATACAACTTTTCACTTTCAACATAAGCATTTTTGAAAAGTTCACTAACTGCAGATTTGGTTAATACTTAATACAACTGATTATGTAATCAAAATATAAAGGATATCTCCCCTATTCACCTAAAATCGCATCATTGCATGCTTTTTTGTGAACCCCTAACACATGTTTTAGGATTTTTTATGTAATTTTTCACATGGCATATCATTAAAGATAATAAAAAAACTATTTGTTAACTCTACTGGTTGATGTATTCAAAGTACCCCATATTTCACTAACATAAAGAAGTACAGGTTTAACAGTATCGACAAACAAATGCAATAAAGTATTAACATTAGTAAAAGTATTCAAATTACTGAAAGCTTTGCCTAATTTAAAATTTGTTTTTAATGCCCTTTTATCTGGGATATAATATAACTTATCGTATGTCACAGCTTTTATACAATCTTTTTTTTGTACTCAGTAAAACTACCCGAAGATGAAAATAGTATTCCAAGATATTTATATTCCGAAAGAAACATGATTAACCTCACTATTGTTTTACATAAACTTAAAACTGGATTACCTTCCACTTTTGCTAAATGTCAATATATTAGTTTAGTTTTCTTTAGGTTTACAGACCACCTAACACTGAATGAATAAAATGATTTACAGTCAAATCAGTCCCAATTCAGATCGGCCTCATTTTTTTCTTTATCCGTTTTTCATTTTTTAAATGTTGCATATATATTGATAAAAAAAAACAACATTTTTTTGTGTGTGGACAGGAATACCAAATGACAAACCACGGATTACAAAGAAAACAAGAACAAAATATATGATAATCAATCTATATTTTATCTGAGTAAAACAATTTTAACATTTATCTTCCATCTACTTTAAACATATGAAGCAGTATCACTGTTGCATATTCATGAGGCATATGAGTAGTTTTTCAACGAATTATAGGTGACTGTCACTTCTTTACACTATTACTCTGCTTTTTGTCTCAATACCCTTGGTTGGTTTAAGCTCGAAATCTTTTTTCAACATCGCCTGCTGATAGTTGTTTCCCGCGATAGCTGCAAGCAGAAATATTAAATAAAAGTATTTAAGAGTCAACAATTATAATATAGATCAACAATTATAATATAGATGTACATGTATATTCATTTTAATGATATCATACAGATTAGAAATTAATATGAATCATATTTATATTGTATCATACACATTGTTCAAGGTCAATTATCAGTAAATCATCATTTTACTAGCCTCTGTTCAAATATATAACTAATGAAATTCAACTTGACAGGGGAAAACAATGGTCGTTATGTCACTTTAAGTATTAGACACAAAAATGATGAATCATATTTACCTGTCCCAAGCTTGCGACTGCATTGATTGGTAAGTCCATTGTTGCATGCACCGCAGATTCATCTCTGATACAAAATATTTGGAAACTAAGTGATCCCTCGGAAGCATTAATCACAACCAAATAACAGAAGGATTGCAGACTCGGTTTGATTGAGTCTGTACATGAGGGATAATGAATAAGTGCTACATCCCTCACAAGCCGTACTTGAAAATTCACGAATCTGGCTTCTTTGTACAACAACTTAATTAAATTGTATAAAGGCGGCGACACTCTAGCTCTAATATTCAGATGAGGATGCCAACCTCCAAATATACAAAATAATAGATAATGTTTCTAGCTGAATTATAAATCTAAAAACAACATACAGACCCCTATATATCAAAATGGAATAAAATGTTCCATAACAAAATATTTAGCTGCTACATTTGGACTACTTTCCTGCGCATCAGTCGAATGTTTCAATATCGCTTACTTTTTACGATTTTACTAAAATATATCCATATACACTGCAATATTAGTTTTAAAATTTAAAGAAAATAAATATAGATTTGTACAAATAATAATAGTAATAATAATATTACTTGAAGGTGTACCGAACACGTGTAACTAATAAACAGCTAATTTACAGCAATCAAGTGTGAACAACATAATCTGATTAAACGCGTCACTCTTTGGATATGAATTTTCGGACAATAGAAACATAGAATAGAATAGAACATAAAATGTTTCTAAATTCAAAATTTCACCATTTTCGTGTTAAATGTTGAATTCTGCTTAAGCCGGTGCTAGGGGGCGTGGACGGTAACTTGCACTTTCCAGTACCGTCCATGAACAGGCTCAATCAAACCGAGCCTGCAACATTTTCAATTTTAATGTGTTGAACTTTCTTTAGGGATTCTATTTTTCTCTATTTATTTCTGACTTGGACTCGACACCTATCATCATAATATACATGCACATGTCTATTAATTACAATACATGCATCAAGAAATCATGTTATAATTAATTCAATCAGTAATATTCACATATATAACCTGCATACAAAACATGACATAGTTTAACAAGTTGATTGAAAATGTCAAAAACTATATTACTACATTAATAATATCATATTGATATGCTAATCTTCCAAATTGTCTCGTCTTTCAAACGCTTTAATACATATATTGCTAATTTTCTAATAACCAATTTTCTGTCTGAGTTGAACAATTGTATGAACACTAGGATTTAAAGTAATTTGAAAAAAAGTGCTTCAATGTACAATAGCCCACGGGATACGCACTAAAGTCCTTAGTCCAAAAATGACAGGACAGACAAAACCCGCTCATAAAATGACTGAGCAAAGAAAAGCTAGACCTCCCATGAAAATGATCAACAGGGCCGAAAAAGCCCTGTTATAACAGATACAGTCAACTCACTTTTTTTTTATTTATAAAAAGTAAAAATGATTTTTACTGCATTTACCAGTAGATCTATTAAGAGTGTGAGGCTCTTTTCTAATACTAATTTACTCAGTATTAAACAGACGCTTGAATCTGCCTCTATATATATTCTAACACATATTGTCGCCTTAAGGCATGCAGTGTTTTAACTGAAAGTATATTATGACAGGGAGCTCAGCAGGGGTCCAGGCCCAAATAAACAAGGATTTAGTGATCTACATTTATCCTAAACAGTTTTTGCAGATATTTTACTTCTTAATGCATTTTTTTGACAGAAAAAAATAACAGAACAGGGCTTAAGCCCCTTAAGCCCCCGGATGGAACTGGGTCTGATTTTAATTAAAAAATATAATTCGTCAACGTAGTGAAATAACTGGTTAACCCTTTCCCTCATGAGCATATTGTGAAAAATGGCCGTTTTCATTGAAAAGCCTCCTGTTACAAGTTCAAACTGCTATGAAACTATGAAAAATGCATCAATACTAGTCAAACTTGGCACAAATGTTGACTGAACCATTGCCTTTGTAACGACATGCTCAGTCTTAAATTTTCTGTTACCATGGCAACGAGGGGACATCTCAAAATTCCCAAAAATCACTATTTTGCCTTGATTTTTTCCATCAAAATTTATTTCAAAGTGCTGCAACTTCTCAAGGGATTGGGATAGAGTCAAAGGCTTTTCAGAGTTGGTTACATGTTACCTTATGATCGACCTGGGGTCATTTTTAGCCTCTCACAAGTCCAAAATTTTCTTGGCGATGAGGGGGGCTACCGCCCCCTTCAAACCCCCAAACAGAAGGGGGCACATCCCCCTTCTTGCAACCCCCTGATGTATCTTTTGGATTGGGGGCGGCGCCGAAAAAGTGCTCACTTTTTTAGCAACATTTTTCAAACGAAAACATGTGTTCGGGCCCAAAATAGGACATTTTTTCACTATTTTAGTTTAATCATATTTTATTGCTATATACATGTATATACAATACAGATACAAATTTCATATGTATTTCAAACAGCAAAAGCAAACGGGTTGGGCCCAAGTTCTTACAACATTAGCGGTCGGCCCTCCCCGGTAAATAATGAAACAAAAAAACTATATTCAATACTTAATGGCATATAACATAAACATAGTGTATATCATGTATAATTGCTGATGGAATGAATCGTAAGAAACGATTTTTAACAATATACAATAAAGTAATCGAACAGATTATAAATTTATAATATGGATGATCTAAGGATTCAGTATAACCTACCCCCCACCCCCCACCCCTAAGTGTCACGGGTTTCGTTAAGGCTGTTATGTGCATTTACTTTATATTGGGTACAGGGTATTTGTAATTACTTCTTATATAATATTCTAAGTACATTTATAACTGATTACAATAAAGGTTTAATGTTTAGGTATAAGTGAATCGATTTGTATTTTTAATAAATTTATGGACAGCAGTAAATATAACTTCATTATCTTTCGATGCTAGGCTATCACTACCAAGTAACAGTAGATTTGTATTCAGTGGGTGGAACGTCCTAGTTTCTGTAAAGAGTGTTATTCTTTGCGTTTGATAACTCGGGCATTTAAAGAAAAAATGTTCAGCATTCTCAACTGCATTTCCGCAATGACATGTGGGATTTTCACTAAGATGATTTCTAACTAAGTCACCATTTAGGTCGCTGCAATTGTTTCTTATACGTGAGTGTAAAACTGATAATAGTCTTTCACCTATTAAAAAATGTTTAGGTACAATAGGAGCTTTGAACATTTCTTTCATTCTAGTTTTAAATATGTTTAGTGATTCCACATTACGAATACTAGCATCAAGTGAATTCCAAAGTTCAATTGCTGAAGGTAAGAAGGATCTATTATACGTTTCAGTACGACGAGCTAATGTTGCATAATTGTTATTATTTCGAAGTGGATAGTTTGATGTTTCTGAAACAGTACTTGGGAAGAGATCTTCAAGATAATGAGGGACAAGGCCATTTTTTGCTTTGTAAACCGTGACTAACTTTTGAATTTTACGTCTGTCAGAAAGAGATACCCAGCCTACTTCTTTAATCAATGAATTTATCGATACAGACCTAGTTAACCCAGTAACGACGCGCGCGGCTTCGTATTGCAATTGTTCAAGTGATTGCTTTTCGTTTAATGTACAACCGTCCCACACTACTGAGGCGTATTCCAAAATCGGACGCATATAAGAGATGTATATTTTATTCATAGTAGATCGTTTAAGTTTAAATTTTAAAGCACGCATTGTACTTAAAACTTTTGACGCTGATAACATTATTTTTTCGATATGTTCATGCCATTTGAGATCATGAGAAATTGTCAAGCCTAAATGTTTGTGATGATCAACAAAGTCAAGACGATTGTTATTAAAGAATAAAATTGGCTTAGGATTTGTGTTTGAAGAGAAAAACATAACTTCAGTTTTATTGGGATTGAAACTCACAAGCCATTGATTAGACCATTCATTAATGATATTAAGGTCACGATTTAAAGTTGTTTCAATGAGGCCGATATTGTTTGAAGATATTATTACTATTTGAGGCATAAAAGAGGGGAGGGGTCGAAAGTGCGTTGTTTCGCGTAAATATGAAGTAAAGGGTTAACAAAAAATGATGAATAACTTCGGAATTACCCAAAACCTAGTTTTTCCATGTTAACATGTGGCCTTTCACCTAATTTTGGTGAAAAATTGTTGTTTTTTGTAACATTTTTAATTTTTTAGTTAACAAAAAATTATGAAAAACTTTGGAATAACCCAAAATCTAGTTTTCCATGTTAACATGTTGCCTTTCGCCTAATTTTGGTGAAAAATTGTTGTTTTGTAACATTTTTTATTTTTTTAGTTAACCCTTTCCCTCATGAGCATATTTGTGAAAAAAATGGCCGTTGTCATTGAAAAGCCTCCTGTTACAAGTTTAAACTGCTATGAAACAATGAAAAATGCTTCAGTTCTGATAAAACTTGGCATAAATGTTGACTGGACCATAGCCTTTCTAACTGCATGCTCAATCTTTCCTGTTACCATGGCAACGGGGGGACGTCTCAAAATTGTTTAATGCTAGTATAGTGCTTTTGCGATATATGTCAAAAATTTTAATGGCCATTGAAATCAGAAATATCTTTAAATTAAATTAGAAGCATTGGGACTTTTTCAATATTTGTCATGTGTTATTATATAAACAAAACTTATGGAGACTGAAGTTTCTGTGTTTAAATTGGCTGTTGTCAAAAAATATTTTAATGGTCCAATAAACAACTGATTAGTAAACTGTTGAATCTTAAGTGCAGTGTTTATACAACTGATTTAATAGTGGTGTCAAACTGTTAGATGATTGTCTCAGTGTTTATAAAACTAATTAGGCGATGAGATAACACCACAATTACTGAAGTTTGTTTAATGGCTATTGTTTAATAAATTGATGAAGAAAATAATTTTAAAAAAATAATTTATTTTACACACACGTTTCGCATTTCATTGTTTAAGACAAAAAATAGTCATTATATAGTCAATATATTTTAATATAATTATTGATATTTTTTATTATTTGAATAATATTAATTACTTTACTGGTAGTGATTTCAATATTTAAACTGATACTTAAAATATGTCTTTGTTGTTCTTTCTATGTTATTCTATTTTTTTAAAATTTAATTACTATAAAAAGAATTTTCTTACAATACAAGTGATATTTCAGAAATTTGTCTTTCATTTACACCTCTTATCACTCAACCCATAATTAAATGAGTTATCTTCTAATATTACCATTGAAATCAACAAAATGAAACATCAAATTGAATTTCCTTTTTACACTGTTTGATATTAATGAAATCAAAATTGGTTAACTTTCCTAGTAAAATTTTCTAAAAATTGGGAGTGAAACGTCCATACAATTGACAAAATGGGAGTGAAACGTCTAGGTGTGAACCGTCTTGGGAGTGAAATGTCTCAATAGTGAAATGTCTTGGGAGTGAAATGTCTGACATTCCTTTCACCCCCCCCCCCCGAAACAGTAGGGGGTACATCCCCATTCTGGCAACCCCTTGGTGTATTTTTTTTATAAGGGTCGGCGCCGAAAAAAATGACCACTTTTTTATCAACATTTCTCAAGCGAAAAACAGTGTTTGGGTCTAAATAGGGCATTTTTCACTGTTTGGGGCCTCAAAAAAAGGGGCTGGCGAAAAGCCGTCAAAACACGTAAATATCAGATAAAGGGTTAATTTAAGAACATGTAGTATCATTGCTAAATAATCACTCAACATTGCCTGTATACATATTTAGTAGTTTTAATAATGGTTCCTTATATATACCTCTTTTATTACATGGACTTTAATTACATATAAAGTCCGTGGTCATAATTAAAGTTCTGTCAGCTATTTCCGAGTTAGTTACGTTCTGATCCGGTAGAGTTGTCGTTCGTGCATCACTGGATGGAAATCTACCGGGAAAATATACGTGTCAATAGTAATTATCAGGTGGCGCCTTTTCCCCGGAAGTACGTCACGTCACAAGGCAACGAGCCAGAATTTCCAGAGGTAACGAACAATATTGCTTGTGTGTATTTCCATATTTCTCTTTCAATATGAAGTTTTTGTAAATTTTGCTTATAGTTCTGATTACTTCACACACGAATCATTATATTCCACAGATAAAAATCGATCAGACGTAATTTACGTGGCAGTGTCAGCTGTTCATATTGGGGCCAGTCTGGGACCGATATAATTTGCGCCACATTGGCAGTATTGCTTCCATTTCACCGTATCATTAGCTTCTTTTATGAAGTTTTTGCGTATTGAAGGTAAGATAATTGTCATACTTACGTTTCCATATTTCAGTTTTTTTCTGCTGTTTTCGTTTAACTTGGGTCAAGGTCATAGATACCACGTGCTGGGCAATAAATTAGAATATGACTTCATTATGGAATACCAGTTTTTAAATTTTATTTTAAATGGAACTTACGTTTTTGTTTGTTTTGCTTTATCATACACTAAAAATAACAATATAGTCAATATCAAATGTGAAAACATGAGATTCAAGTGTACAAGATAACCTGATAAGTGAAGGGATTGGCTATTGAAATCCTTTGATTAATATTATATTTATAACTGGTTAACATTAATGATTAAGAAAATTATTCTTAGTACTGGATACAGTTTAAAAGCTATCACTTACTTGTGAACATTAATACTAGTATAACTAGCAATCATACATGAAACATATCGAAGAGAAAGTGGCTTCAGTAAAACTTACAGGTAAGTTGTCTGTATCAACAAATTGAAATTGAAAAACAGTTACGTTTTAAACATGGTTCAAATTTTAGTGTATTAATTTGTGTCTTATTTCCTATCAAAGTTGCATATCGTCAAGAAATCATTTACTAGCCAAATTATAATTTCTGTAGCAAAATAATTATAGTGGTGGGGTAATATGTTTGAAAAACAAAACTCATTGAGGTCTATATTAGGCAGTAAGACCAACTTTTTGTTTTATCACATGATTTCTTTTCAATATGCATATGTTTAAATATATCCAGGTCTAGGATTTTATGATACTAACAGACAGTTTGTAAATTTTTGGACAATCCATAATTTTACAGATTTTTTTTATCTGTAAATTTACAGACATTAAGTAAAAACAGTCAATAAAACAATTGATTACATGCTTTTCGATGGTTCATAGAAATATATCAGTGATATAAAACTGGTAATTTCACTGTTTGAAACAGTGAAATTACCACTTTGATAATTTCACTGTTTTGAATTTAAGCCCCTTACGTTGTTTCAATGAAATACCAGCGTACACAGTACTTGGTACACACTTAAATGATGTGACGTCGTAAATGACGTCAAGTTGTATTATTATTTGGCGTGCTTTTCATTCAGTATTATGTTCAATGTCTTTTTAAAACGATTCTTTGCATGTAATAAAAAAAAAATTTAAGTTTAGTGTAAGATCGAAATATATTTCACCTTGTGACCACCAAAACTTCATATTTCACTTGTGGCTGCGCCACTCGTGAAACATACATTTTGGTGCTCACTAGGTGAAATATATTCCGATCTTACATTGAACTAAAGAAATATCCTCTATTTATTTTAAGCTGCATGTTTTAGTGTAAAACTTAAAACATCAAATTTCACATTGAATATCTGTAAACTTATGGGTTGAAAAATCTTTAAATTTCTAGACTATCTTTAAATTTACGGACAGTCCGTAAATATTAAATCCTAGACTTGATAACTGCACAGAGATCGTATCCTGTTATTGGTAGCTTGGCAGCATTCAATAATGTAAAGAATGCATTTGTAGTATTATCTTCTACATAATATAACAAAATACATATTCATCATTTTTATTGTCATTTCAGAGCCATTGCGCTGGCAAACAAGCACCATTTCGTCGAGAAAAAGAAGTGATAATTGTGGTTTATCCACATCAAGTAGTTATATGAAGTTCATAGATTTCTGTGACTATCATCTGCTACCTAGAAGTTGTAATATTTGTACTAGACATAAAGACGGTGAAAACTTGATATCGCAATTATGGCGACCGTCAACGTCAACAGTGAGGTCACTGACCAATTCTATAGATATAAGATGCCGAAAATCATAGCGAAGGTATGATAGATAGATGTACAGTTATTTTAGCAGGGCTCAAGCTAGGTTCAAAATTTAGGGAGAAGTCACTTCTCCCCCCAGCTGATTTAGGGAGAAGTGGGGAGACTTTAGGGAGAAGTGAGGAGATTCATTTATCGATGTTTGTTATCGCAATTATGTTGACTCACTGTACATATCTTATTAAATGAATTGGATTTGTGTTACAACAGAATATTCAATTTTGATTTAAAACAGAGACATAGATAGCTATTATTATAACTATTGTTATCTATGTCTCTGTTTAAAAGTAGTTTGAAACAAGTAATAAGAATGAGTATCATGTAATGCAACCATTGCATTAAATGAAGATAAAAAAGCCATAGTTGATTCCTATCATGGATCATATCATGGGTGAATTAACAGTTATTCCCTTCTGATTTACTATTAAAAAGCTTGCGCCGGACATTATATTCAATTTCACTTATGTTGTAAATAAAATGAAAGTAGATAACGAAAGAAACGATCTTTGATTTAACTTCGTTTGTAATAAATACAGTGTAATACACCGTTAATTTTATCAAATTTAACTCGTCGACAAAAAAGGTTATCATAACTTTCATTTAAAATTACCGTTACAGTTATATGTCGAGCGGTCCTCTTAATTCTGACAATCATTCGATAGTGAAAATTTAATTGACGTTTGATTCGTCCATCATAAATAATTGTTACAAGTAGTTGTATGTTAGCGATTTAATGATTGGTTAAATAATGTCGCCTCGATTGGTTTCTCGCACGTATCGGTAATCTCGCCGTGGGCGGAGTCTAATTGTTCTTGAGCGTCTATTATGACATGTTGGTAAACAAACGGATTAATGACATTTCGCGTTGATTGAGATGCATGACAGTCCCTTTTTCCGGCGGCGAGGGTAAACAAAGCAAACACACACAACATGTTATTGTTATTGTTGGTAATTTTCAATAATGGATCAATAAAATCGGGCGACTTCATCTTCGCTTTCATGTAGGATGTCGGCGAAGTCAGACGGAATTCGGCGACTATTTCGCCCGAATCGCCCACTAGCTCGAGCCCTGTTTAGTATTATAATCCTTAAAGTAAGAGTGGTTATGATGACCTGTATGCCCAACAGCTTAATGTGTATTTTAAAAAAAAAACCTTTTTAGTCCCCTACCGGTTTACCGGAGGGGACTTTAGGTTTACCCTCCGTCCGTCTGTCCGTCCGTCCGTCAGTCAGTCCGTCCGCACTCACAGGAGAGTAATTATGTGGCTAGAGGGACAATAGGTAACTGTTGTTTCTCTTCGATGTCATTCATTCTGTAATGCTTTTATGTGGCTATTTTCTTTTGTGTGGCTAAAAAGAACCATAGAGAGAACAATAGAGTAGCCACATAATTACTGTCCTGTGAGAACGTCCGTCCGTCAGTCCGTCCGTCCACAAAACTGGATCCCGCAATAACGCAAAAAGTACTGAAAATATTTTAATGAAACTTGATATATGGATAGATGGCAGTATGGAGATTATGCACGTCTTTTTCTTTTCTTCCTACGTTGAAAATTCTGGTTGCTATGGCAACAAATAGACTGAAAATATGACAAATTTTACACATAAACTGGATCCCGCGATAACGCAAAAAGTACTGAAAATATTTTTATGAAACTTGATATATGGATAGATGGCAGTATGGAGATTATGCATGTCTTTTTCTTTTCTTCCTATGTTGAAAATTCTGGTTGCTATGGCAACAAATAGACTGAAAATATGGCAAATTTTACACATAACCTGGATCCAGTGATAACACAAAAAGTACTGAAAATATGTTTATGAAACTTGACATATGGGTAGATGGCAGTATGGAAATTATTCACATCCTTTTCTTATCTTCCTATGTTGAAAATTCTGGTTGCTATGGCAACAAATAGACTGAATTTCAAGATTTCTGATTCTAGTTTTTAAGTTTTTTCACTAAGTTCTTTATTTCTTAAGGTATTTTCTTCAAACTTTAAATATAAGTTGCTTGTCATCAACCACATCATATGTGACAAGGTTTACAACTCTAGCACAAAATTTATCAGAATTACCTCCCTTGAACTTGAAATTTTCATGGAAAAAACATTGTTTTTTTTAATAACTTCTTTTTCTGAATGTATCTACTTCAAACTTCATATAAATGTTTCTTATTGTCACTCAACATTTGTGAGTGTTCAATACTCTAGCAAGACTATTTCCAGAATTATGCCCCTTTTGAACTTAGACTTTTTTTTGAGAAATTGGTAATTTTTACTCCCAACTTCTTCAATCATGATAGGATTTTAAAAATGTTATATTTTGATAACAGGGATGTTTAAAAAATAACTTTAGAGTGTCTTTCAGTCTGTCTGTACATAAAAACTATTTCCTGTGATCACTTTTAAAGAACTTTTTCAACAAATTTACTTTAAATAGGAACCTAAGTGAATGGCCAATGGCCCATAGAATGTTGCTTGGGCTCTTACCGGTAGGGGACTTATGGATTGCTTGCAATACTATGATAATTGCTTGTTGTTTATGATTTTGTAACTTTATTTAATTATAACTTTGTATAGTTGGTAATTTTAAATTGAAGAATTTTTTGTAAAAATAAATATACTAGAGCCCTATTGTTATTATCGATGAAATTTCCATTTAAGACTTTCTGAGCAATGTTTTTATGTACATTTATCTTAATGTTTAGCAAAAAATAGTTAATAACAGTTTGAGTTCATTGATGTATGTTGTATTGTTCAGGTTGAAGGTAAGGGCAATGGTATCAAAACTGTTATTGTTAACATGGTAGATGTGGCTAAAGCTCTCTCAAGACCTCCAACATGTAAGTTTGTACAGTTTGAACACTACTCAGATATTGCAGAACTTTTTTTTTTGGTTGAAAAAAATTCTATGAAATGAACCTGGTTTAGTAATTAGATATAAAAAATATGTTATGTAAATCAGTTCAAGAAATGTTGATACATTAAAATATAGCTGCACAGAATTTAAGCTAGGTTCTTTTTGCTTTTCTCACCATTTCTGTTGATATTGATTTTGAGCAGAGTTTAAATCCTCTTTTAAACAATATAAAATGCTGTAACAAGATAATTGATTTATATAAAAGAAAAAAGATTACCCAACATTAACTGAGATTTCTCAATTTAATAAGCTGCCATCCAGTTTCTATAAATCATCAAGGGAAACACAATAACAATAAAATTATATACAGACTAATATGTTATAAAAATACAACAAAATTATCTGCACAATCTGACATAATTCTAAGAAATTGTTTCAGTGAGAATTGTTGGTAATCACACAACTTTAAAATACTACTAACCCTATATTTACAGTCATTTTCATGAAGCATTTGCTTTACAATGACACACGTATTTGCTTTTACAGACCCTACAAAATTTTTTGGATGTGAGCTTGGTGCACAGACCCAGTTTGACATTAAGAATGATCGCTACATCGTGAATGGTTCACATGATGCAAGCAAACTTCAACAGCTACTTGATATTTTTATCAAGAAATTTGTCCTCTGCCAGGAATGTTCCAACCCTGAAACCATTCTGGTAAGTCTGATAATTTCTATAATCTAACAGAACTGTAGCCTTTTACTAAAAGTTTTGCACATTTACTTGTAATGTATACTTTCGTGTTATTGTTAAAGAATATTCTTTTCTGTCGACAGACATTGAATTTTTGTTAAAAATTTGTGGTGTGTGCAAGGGGATTTTATTATTTTGGAAACTAGAATAGCTCTTTAAAAAATATTCTGTCTTATTTCACTGTAAATGTTTAGAAAGACTTAAAATACTTCTGTAAACTAGCAAGTTGTACTGAAGTGTAGTGATCATGTTCTGTGTTCTACATATATGGTTTTGGTACATTGCAGAGTGCCAATCAGAAAACCCAGACGATTAAAGCTCGGTGTATTGCTTGTGGACACTCTGCCATGGTGGACATGCGCCATAAATTGACCACCTTCATTCTCAAGAATCCTCCAGATATGGTGAGTATACTGCCTGAGTTTTTTTTCTAAATCTTTGAATTTTTCCTCAAGGATTTGCTGTTTCCACCATTAGTGTAGCTTAGGTAAGGGACTTGAATATGCAGAAAGTCTGCTGTTAACTAGAGGCAGATGAAATTGGTGCATTATGTCAGTTTATTACATCATGGCTAAATGAAGTTTTGGCATATTTCTATTGATCTGTCTTAACAATATATGTGATGCAAGACCTTTTGTCACGACTAAGTAACTGCAGAAGATCTTTATGTGCTGTATTGGTTACAGTATTAACAATTATTCTGTATGTCTAGGACCCAGCTTCCACCACCCCATCTAAAGCTAAAAAGGATAAAAAAGATAAAAAATCCAAGAAAGGGGAGAAGGCTACAATGAATGGAGATGATGGAGACCATGATAGGGCCAGTCCTGAAATCAACTCCCAGGAACAGATGGCTGCACAGAGAGCTTCAGGCGGAGTTATTGAAGCCCCACCAGAGGTATTCATCTACAATTCCCTTTTCCAGCATCTTAAAAGTGATAGTAATAGCTCTGTTCTTGCTTGAAAGTTAATTGAAACTATTATTTTCGTACATTGACCATCTAGTTATTATGTACTGAGAAAAAAATGTTGTTAAATAAATTATATTCATGTTTCAGTTTCATTGGACAGAATTTCTAAGAACTTGACAAGTGTATATGTATACATTTCAGTGTTTTTTTTTCTCTACTTTGGGAATGGTGCCGGTACCAGACTGTTTGGGAAAAAATGCGTTATTTTGACTAAAATTGGGAATTTTTTCAATGCATTTTTTCAGCTACAAATGAGATTAGACATCATGAATAAAGATAGCTAACAGCTTCTACTGTCCAGATAGAACTATTGAGTGGTGATTTATATGAATATGTTGGATTTAAATGATTTTAGAAAAATCACTTGGCCTTGTGGGCATTTTGAACAGCACTTTTGGGAATTTAACATTGGAAATTGGGAATTTTAATGTCTATTTTCTATTGGGAATGGTACCGTTTTAGGGTAGTAGTTATATAAAGGAAAAAAACACTGCATTTTATAGGTTACATAAACGAAATGATTGTTATGACTTTAATTATATGTCGTTAATGATTTTGTTAGATAAAGGATGATGATGATGAAGACTGGGGAGAAGATGTTAGTGACGAGGCAGTTGCTAAGCGTATGAAGGAACTCCACTGATGCTGCCAAGAACATGGCAATGTTCAGAGGACCTTGAGAAATCTGCCAATCAAAGAATGGATCTTTTCTACGAGTTTGTTAAGGTGAGTCCAAGTTTAAATGATTATATACAAATGAAAATGTTTTATTTTTCAGTTCCAAGTAAATTCTTCAAGAATTAGTAATATGATCGTTTTTATGAAACTGCAATTTTTTTGTTAAAATTAGTATGAACCATTGCCATTCAGTCTTGGAAGTGATGAATATTTTTAAATGTGAGAGTAAATTGGATATTTTATTCAGTATTTTGATTTGCCTATTCTATGTTGTGATTTTTCCGTACAGAACAAAATCAACTCGAAGAGTTTAGCAGGAGCAGAACAGGAGTTACTATCTGAGGCAGAACGTCTGGAAGTGAAGGACAAGGCTGCCCTAGTACTTGTTGAACTGCTTATGAATGAGAAGATTGTCAGTCAAATCAAACAACATCGTAAACTGTTATTACATGTATGTATTCTTCATATATTAGACACCATCATTTAATATGTACAGATAATCAAAGAAACATATACTTTGCTTATAGGATTATGTTGTTATTCAAGTTGTTAAATGGATATGAATGTTTTAACATGCTTGTTTTAACATTGTTTATTTTATTCTCAGAGAGTTGTCTTTTACTGGTAATACCTTATTCAACCAAATAAAAATAATAGACTTGTATGTATTATATAGAATGGTATGTAAAGACAGGTGAATATACAAGAACTTGTCATCTTGAAAAGAGAAGAATGCTTTATAAACAGATTCATTTTAAACCTGTTAAATATATGATTATAATATAAAAATATTGTCAATTGATATGGTTGATTTCTATGCAAGGAAAAATCAATTGTCTTGAATGCTGGAAAAGACATGCATGATGTTTGAAAAAATTCTCAAAATGAAAATATTTTTTTACAGTTTTGTCATAACAATCAGAAAGCTCAGAAGTATTTGTTGGGTGGTGTAGAACAGGTGATTGGTCATGTCCATAAAGATGTTTTACTGCCTAAAGTACCACACATCTTTAAAGAACTGTATGACATGGATATAGTGGAGGAGGAAGTCTTGCTTGACTGGGCTAAGAAGGTACCTATAGCTGAGAAATCTGTTTAATTCAAGTTTGAGCCTAATATTTGCTGCATTAATTGCAGTTTAACTTAAGTGTTTCTCTATTTCAATTACAAAGTGATATGAAATTTGCATTAGATTCAAGAATAAGGTTTTGTATCCAAATGACGTTAATGTTTCCCCTTGTGGCTGCATCCACCATTTATCCCTGTGTGATCGTAAGAGGCAACTAGGTTTGAATTACTGGAGTCTATACATCTCTTAGGTCCAGCAGGTAAGGTGGTTTTGACTCCTAGTGTTGCTTTGAAGATTGTAACACCCGAAGTTTGCCAAAATCATCTTTCCTGTTATGGCACCATAAGACCTAAACTGAGTCGGTGCGCTGTAAAACCAAACAAACAAACGTTGTTAGGTAAAATAAACAATCTACTTTTATTACCAAAGTGCAAAAGAAAACAAAAAAAATATTTTGCTACTGCAAAATAATCAAGGTTCAGACCTGGAAACCACGTAAGTGTGCAGAAAATTGAACTAAAAATTGCTACATTTTTATAGAGTGATGGTAAGCATCTAAGCACAGCGTTATTTATTAAATTGTGTATTGCAGGTTTCAAAGAAGTATGTTTCTAAAGCTGTAGCACAGGAGATTCACGAGAAGGCGGCACCATTTATAAAGTGGTTGGCTGAGGCCGAGGAAGAAGAGAGTTCTGAGGAAGATGATGAAGTTGAGGTCAGTGCTCAACTTATCTGTCTCTTTATTTGTAACTTCATTGATATAATATTGTTCTTATATTGTTCTTTTAATAGCTGCAATAGAGGCCAAAATCGGTGCATTGTTTTCAGAACCTCCACATTTTAAGAGTGCTATACATCTCTTACTTAGATGGTAATTTTTTTTTAGAAAAACATATTTTACACCCAGTTTTTAAAGTATTTGGAACTTGGAAAGTATGTAGCTGCTAGAAGTTTGACTTGGTTTTTGTCAACAAAGAACGTTAAAAACTGCTTGCATTTTGGTCGAATTTCTGAAAGTTACCATTTCTATAACTTCTTTTCATTTGATTTCCACGAGAATTTTTTTTAGAAAATGAACAAAATTTTAAGTATTTAATTGAATCATTTATTGAATTGTATACTGGAAATTACAATTCCTTGCCTTTAAGAAAAGAAAAACAACATTTAAATATTTCCGTGGTTAATATTTGTTATTGCAATGTCTTGATATAAAACTGTTTCTATTACAGGTTGCATTCTCTACAACTGGTAAGGTTGGCGTGGAAACAATTGCCCCACCCAAACCAAAGTCACCAGAACAATCACCAGCTTCCGCTAATGATGATGAAAGTGAAGGAGATGACGAGATTGACATAGATGCCATCTAAATATATCCCTGTTATATGAACCATTATACACTTAAAGATCTTGAGAGAGCTAAAATTTAATGCTGTTATTTGCTTAAAGTAAACCAGCAGACTTTTATATTAAAACTGGACTATGATATCATTGCCGTGGAGAAGTTGTTTTTGAACTTGTTATGATCATTCATCATGTTTTTGATAACATCTGTGTATATAATTATGTTGTGGGCATTGATTCTTTGGTCATTGATTCAAATTGTAATTTCTTTATTTTATAATTTTTTGGGGAATAATTGAATCATTTTGTTAATCACTTTTGTACAGTGGCTTTTTAATAACAGAACAGACAGAAAATCTGGTTTTAAACAGAGTTTGTATAGATGGGTTTATAGTGGAGAAGTTATTATTTAGATTGTTGGATAAGTTAATTTGATTGTTTAGATGATCATGTATATGTATAACTTGTGCTTTCCTTTAATCTTTCTTGTCTCTTTCTTTATCCAATATGTATTGAATCTGTACATATTTTTCTTATTTACCAGTGTTACTTTCTTTGCTTTTTGTTAATTTATTTGGTATTATTGATTAATTTTACATGTGTCTATAAAATATTGAAGGTGTGATCGTTGAAAATTTTCTAATGTCTTGGTTTACTATTTCAGTGTTTAAAAGCCCATGAATATTGTTAATAAGAACTTGATTTTCAAAATGTTAATGAAATTGTAAGAAAACAATAATTGGATTACATTTCCTTTTGATATAATGTGACATTTCAATCCAAAATAGATGGCAATGGAAAGTGTGATCATTTGATATTATTTGATTAAGTAACACTTGACTGCTCTTGACAATTGGAGGGTTTGGGGTTGTTTTTGTTTTATTGAAAATTAGTGCTGCGTATTTATTATAAAAAATTATATTTTATTCAATTACCCGAGATTAGTGCAGATTTTTATAGTGCCATTGTTGAACACTTTTCTGTCCTTAAAAAGTTCTCTTTTTATATGTTCAATAATAAATTTCTTCCTCTAGACATTGATTCTATGCTATTTTTACAGGTAATTTGATGCTTAATTCATTCCACATTCGTTGTTTGTAACAAACTAATTAAAGTCAACAATGCTTCATTATAACATACAACATGTTTGTTGTGGACATTTCTTTTGGTGATTTGTGTAAATTTGTGATATGGAAGAAAAAATTTAAAAAGATAACAACTAGTTTTGTTTTCATCTCATTGACCTTCACCTAATTGTGCAAATAGACTAGAAAAAAAATGCTAGACAGAATCAAATTTGTTGCGTTTCCTGGCAGTGTGTCTTTGGTAATCCACAATTTCTATAAACAGCTTAAAAACCATTTGATATATTTTGATCAAACTTCACAAGAATGAACCTTTAGGTGGTCCTCTATAAAAGTTACATAAATGGCTCAGAGCTTAGATTTGGCATAAAGCATCACCTTGTGGTCTTGACAAAAGTTGAATACGTCATATCCCTAGGGTTAACTACGGTCCCGCCCTTAACGTCGCTTTTCATTGGCTTGTATATTAAATACATATAAGTCGTATATTTATTTGCCCAGGGAGTCACTAAGTTCATATATAAGCTTGAGGAAAATGCATTTCAAAGTTGTGAAACTACAGGACCATGAGCTAAGATACTTGGCATTGACTAAAGGATCTCTATGTAAGTCGTAGTTTCACGAGACTTGAATGTAGTTTCCTAAACAAGTCTATATATTAATTTATGCAGCTTCGGTAAAAAATGACAACCAAACGTAACATCATTACTGACTAACAGTAAAATAAAAACTGCGACCTTTATAAGCAATGTGTCTCCGGTGAGCGATCCTGGGCCAGCACGGCCCTTTTGGTAAGGCATCGGTAGTCAATTTTAGCAATATGCTGTAACCTGATGGGCCACTGCGTTTTATGTGGTACAAACATGGTTTTTGAAAGGACATTTTACCCTTAACCTACTTAAACCGAGTGTCAAGTCTGCAAGAGAGCACGACTACCAAGGGGGAGAATCACGCCGTTCGTTACCCAAACAAACAAGATGGCGGATGCAGCCAAAAAGTAGGTTTTTCCCTTTTTTCTCTGAAATTCGTGATGTTCTAATGTAAAAGTACATATAACAACCTTCTCCACAATTTTCCTGGCACACAGGATTTTATTTCATGATGTTTCGTCCCGTACTTCATCTGAAATGCGCGTCACCAGATTCGCAAGCGAGAGAATTTTTCCACCGGTTTGATCGTGATAACGTAACGGCTTTTTCTCTCAAATTCACTGTTTCTTTTACATATATGTATATTAACTGAAACCACTGACTTTAAAAAGTTGTAATATGTTGCCAAG